TCACGTTAAATTGTTACATGATGAGAGATTGCAAGGAAGAATTAAGAAGGAGAATACATGATTAAAATAATGATATAGAGAAAATGTATTGTGCATTAGGTGCCATTGGATGCGGACCGCAAGAGGAATTTCGTGCATGTGCCGATATTGCTATCGGTGACAATGAAACTTTATCGTTACCAGATCTTCCAAAAGTGCCAACAACAGAAAGTACACCTATGGATACATCAACAGAGGAACCAACTTCGATACCAATATCAGCACCCTCATGGTTATTCAGTATTATCATCGCTGGTACGTGTCTTTTGGTGGTGCTGGCTGCTATGGCACTGCTTTACGCGTATTATTACCACGCTGGTAGAGCCAAAAAATGGCTTTTGCAAAGAAGACTTCTGACACCAGAGAATCCACCTGTGGCTCCGCCAAGACACAAGAAATGTCACATCTCTAATGCACAATTGCAAATGTAATAATACATAACAACGATTATTGATTTTGTACGTGTTATTATAAAAGAAATTTCTTTCATAAGATTTTTCTTAAGTATACCCATTGTAATTTTATCTCTTTTAATCGTGTCCCTTTATATAAATTTATATAGATTTCTTTTTCTTTTTTTTTTTTTTTTTTTTTTTTTTAATAGTTTTTATAAGCATCTGTGCGTACGTATGATCGAACGTGATCATTGCGTGAATTGTTAAAAGAAAATAATTCACAATCTTCTTACGTATTTTCCATTGTGTATATACGCATTATCCATTTATACATTGACGATATTTATTAATTAATTCCATGATATACTTATTATTTTCTGTATACTCTGTTAAATATATATATATATATATATTTTTTTTTTTTTTTTTCTAATAAAATTAGTATATAATATTTAACATATATACTGTATATAAATATTAGATGCTTGCAAGTTTAGTTAATAAGAAGAACATGTGTAGATTGAAGAAAGTTTTTAGTAGCTTTCTTTTGCCACAGTTTTTTTTTTGTCTATAAAAACTCTATTCTTTTCTTTTTGTATATATATATTTTGCTCTATACAATTATACAATATCTATAATTTCTCAGATATAGGGAAGGATACTGCGTGATACGGAACACTGGAATCATTAAAAATACTTTTTTTTATATGATAATACAATAGATTATTTTTTATTTAACAACATATTCCGAAAATCTTGATTACTCTTCGGCTGTGATATTCCATTCTTAGATGAACTTTTATCATTATCATTAGTATTATTAATGCTCGTTATTTTAACATTTCGCGGTACCATGGATAATAATGTTTTTGGTAATCCAAATGTTGTTCTACTTACTGTACTACTACCCAATGATTTTACATAAGATATTTCTTCTCCCTTTTTACGTTCCGGTGGTTGACTAATTGCCACGTTTATTTCTTTATCTCCAATTTTCATACCATCGGTAGCAATAAGAGCCTTAGCAGCATCACTTTCATCTAGATATTCAATGTATGCCAATCCTTTGGAATGTCCATTACGGTAAGTAACTAAACGAACATCTTTTAATTTTCCATGAATATTAAATATCTTTTCAAGATCTTCTTTTGTCGTTGCAACTGGAAGACCTACAATATAATTAAAAAATATTATTATATAAATAAAAAAAAAAAATAATAATAATAAAAATAAAAATAATATTAATATTAATTTTAATCGAATTTCCCCCCCCCCTTAATGTCAAACTTTTATATAATTATACCTTTAACAAAAAGTTTATTCTTTTCCAAAATGCTGTTGTATTTAAATCCTGAACCTCTTGTACTTTTGTTAGGATCACATTTTGAAACAAACATAGGACGTCCATTTATACGTGTTCTATCTAACGTTAATGCTTTCTCAACGGCCTCCTGTAAAAATTTACATTTTTATCATTGTTCGACGAGCACATAAATTATAAATTTTTATATATTTAAAAAAAATCCATTGGCATACTTTATTGCTTAATTGTACATAGCAATAACCTTTGCTACGTCCCTTATAATCTCTAATCATTTTAAACGAAGTTATTGATCCTGCTGGTTTTAAAGCGTTCCTAACTTCGTCCTCGGTTGCCGTATAATCCAAATTACTAATAAATACGGTTAACTTATCATCTATATCACGATTTGTATCAATTGTTTTTTCATTTTCAAATGATTTAAAACCTGGCGGAGGCTGTACATCAAGTCTAATTTGTTCCTTGTCATCCTCCATTTTCTTATCCAAGTCAAGACGACTTTCCCGTAATTTAAATTTATTTCTTTCGTCCATTTTCATTATTTTAAAGGCAGAACTTCCTAAATTCTTCCATTTACCTGCATCTTCAGCTTTTCTCTTGTTTGTTTTTTTGGATTGTGCAAATAATTCATTTTGCAAATTAGCTTGCTGAGCTTTTGATCTTTCTTCTATAACTTTGTCCAATTTTTCTTTTGTTTTCAATTCACAAAATTCCATCTGTTCGAGATTACCTTCGTCACGCTCAAAATCCAACCATGAATTCGCCACGCTTTCTGGCCAATCCTTGACCGAAGTCAATGCTTTTTTATATAACTTTCTCAAATGTTTCGTATCGCCGTAACATCTATATTTAAGATAAAAATTATAAGATACAGATTATATCTCAAATTCGTCTAGATAATTTATCGATATAACAATAAATTACCTTTCTAAAGAAATATATTCCAACCAATAAGATGCAGTTACCGAATGGCCTTGTGAAAATATATCAGTCCAAAGAGATCTAGCCTTTTCCATATTATTCGCTGTTATAGCTTCTGTTCTTGCCCAATATTGTAAAATAATACAATTTGGATCACCGTCCAAACCAAAAATTTTAGCTAAGTGTTCGCAAGCTCTATTAAATGTATTACGAAGAATATCCATTTGTTTATCATCTTCTTCTACATTTTTATCTATTTTTCGGCGCAAATATTCTAAATATTTCATCCATAAATCACGATAATCCTCTGCCGTTGGAAAACCTATAGCTAAAGCATTTTCCAATAACACCTGAACTTGTAGAACAGGTCTTTCCCATTTCTCATACGCTCTAATCCATTTTTGCCAAATTGTTGAACACCATGGAATATTTCTTGATGCTCTTTCATATATTTCACTTAATATCGACTCTATCTTAATATTGTTTTCAAGATAATTAAGATAATCCAACCAAAGTGGTACCTCAAGACTAAGATCTGCAATTGCTCTTTCATATAAAACCGTAACACGTCCTGGATCCCCATTTTGTTTTTCATATAACAAATATGCTTTAAAAGCATCAAACAATTCACTTTCATTTTGTGCAGATACTATTTTTTCTTCATAAGGAAGACGTAGATTTAATTTTGCAAAAGCACGTTCATATCCTCCCAATACAATACTATCATCTATAGTAGCTTGAACACCATCTCCAGCCCTCCAAGCTTCATACTCTTCATGTGTTTTCTCCATATCAAGTAAAGGACATGCTAATTGACGACGGAAAAGATTTCCAATACGTTCCAATTGTTCCTTTCTTTCAGCTTTGTTTGAAGGATCAATCTACTTGAAATAAAATCAAATATATGATAGTAAAATATATTAACACAAAGGAATTTATATTTCTTTAACTTACCAATGCAAATAATACTGCTTCAAATTCTCTAAATGCTTCCCATATTATCGCTCCTTTGATAGTATGCAATCCAACGGATGTTAATGCAATTTCAAAAAGCTGACGAACATTTTTAGTTCCATTCTTTTCATTATCCATATTTCCAATACTGAATTGTAAATATTCCAACCAAATGTCAACAGCTAATAATAAATATAATTTCAATAAATAATTCTTATAAATAATAATTATTATTGAACAAACATAAAAACAATAACATACAGAGATAATCTTTAACAGCTCTTTCGCACAATTTGATAACTTCAGCTTTTTCTTCCGTACTCACAGCTAATTTAATCTCATCGCGTATCCATGATAACCATAATTCTGGACTCAATGGATATTTTGAACTCATATTTTCTCTTGCACCACGTAAACGTTCAAGTTCTCCCATTGTCTCAAATTTTTTTATCAATGCTACATGACTACTGTAATCATAAGGATTTTGTGATAATGAAGTCTCTAAAATTTTGATTTCTGCTTCATCAGCATCTTCGTCGTCTTCGCCTTCATCATCATCATCACCATCACCATCATCATCATCATCATCATCATCATCATCATCATTATCATCATCATCATCCATATTATCATCATTATTTTCATTATCGTCATCATCATCATTTAAACCATCCCCGTTCTCATCTTTATTATTTATTTCTTCATCCTCTTCATTCTCTTGTTCTTCATCTTCAATTAATTCTACCTCCTCTTTACTTACATTTAATGAGCTCGTACTTGAACACTTTTCTTTGTCTATCTCATTTTTTATATCCATTTCTTCCATTTTGATTTATCACATCCGGATAAAGAAATAATCCCTCTGACGTTCCCCTAAATTTCAATTTTTCTAACTGTAAACTGACAATAATATTTCCTCGTTCGAAGGTTATGTTTGTTTTCTTTTTTATATTCAAAGGTGAAAACCCACTAATCGTAAGTTAGTTGCGCTTGATAACAAAGAGGGCAATAGTATCGACATATTATAAACCATTGTTTATGATATCTGCAATAATATTATGCTTCTTGATATAAACATCTCTATATAAAGCTAAATGTATAAAATATGAAACTATAATAATGTAATAAATGCCTATTTACTTGCTTACCTATATCTCTCAAAAAAAAAAAAAAAAAAAAAAAAAATGCGACTTTTAAAAATTGCACTTCTGAGATTTATAAATCATAGTAAATGGTAAATGTTTTGAAAGGAATTCTTGTTGAGTGGTACGTAGATTTATATATATATATATATATATATATATAAATATGTATATATATAAAGAAAAAAACATTTATTTTAATTACAAAAATATAAAAGTATAAATATCTTTGTTTTTTAATATAATATATTTTATTCCTTATAGTCCAAATCATCAGAGATACTAAATTGTTTATTGAGATCTTGCTCTGATATATCAAATTTTCTCTTGCACCAACTTTGAATGGCAAAGATATTATCTGTCCATATATTAGTTACTTCTTTGAACATCTAATCAAAATCATTTAATTATTTTCTCAAAAACTAATACATAGATAGATTTGATATGATATTTTCTTACCTGTGCTCTCTCTGCCATTTTTCCAATTACTTCTGGATCTACGTCGCTAAGTTTAGCAATGTGATTTTTCAATTCATTTTCTTTCTCTCTTAATTGCTGTACTTCTTGTAACAAATTTCGCCTTTCTTCTGTATCTTCTCTACCAGTCTAAGTAATGTATTATTGAATATTGTAATAATTTTAATGGCACTTAATGTATTTTAAATGTAATCATAAAATTTTTATATCACATTTTACCTGCTCTTTGATACATTCTTCCTTTAATTTTTGTAGCTTAAATTCAGCTTCAACTATTCTTTTACTTGCATGTGCTATCCTATTTTCTACAGCAGTTATATTCTCTCTAACATAATATATTTTCTTAAAAATGTTGCAATCAATATATTTAATAAGCCTCATATAAATTTTTCTTACCCAGGAAATGTCCAAAAATATATAGAAGTACCAATTTTATCAGATCTAACTAGACCATCATCTACTAAAGTTTGAAGAACATCTTTTACAGTTTGAGCAACTATACCCTTCTCCTTAGGTGCAATCTTTTCTAATTCTTTTAACGTGAAAAATTCCCTCCTCTCATAAAATATTTGAAGCATTCTAGCTCGTTTTTCATCAAGGGTCAGACCTTTTCTTTTGGACATTCTTTAGACTGTATCAAAATAATTACACTGTATATTTATTAAATATCTTTTTATAACAACGCAATTATGAAATAGTTTCTCCTATACTTAGACACTTAAACAATTCCTTTGATAAAGAAGTTTATAATTTAAGATGTGGACGAAAGACATTTATTTTCATCGATATTTATTGGAAACTTTACAGATCAAAATGAACAACCTCATGGATTAAATATCATTTCCATTAGCTGAAAAAAGGAATATAACTAATATCAAAACCAAAATTTAATTAAAATACTTTCATTATTCAAATATTCATTACAATGGTGGTATAAAAATTTACGAATTAAGGTTACAAACAAATTCTTATATTCTAACTCTCTATAAATAAAGAATATATATATATTTATATATATATATATATATATATATATATTATTATCTTCCTGAAATTACATATATTCTTTATCATATGTCAATAATTAAATAAAAATAAATTAATACATAAATTAAACTCGAAAATGTCACTCGATCACTTACCAATGTTTTACAGGTTATGTTTTGAGTCAATTCGGCGGGAATAAAAATAATTTACGTCGTAGCTAAACTACGTAAAAGATTCTTCTTCAACTTTATAAACGTTTATAGATTAAAATACATATAAATTATATATATTGTTCATCTTGTTTAAATAAATGATAATGATAGATATATTATAAATTTATTATGTTTAGTTATTTTCAAAAACGTTTCTTTTACGTTCTAGCCAATCAATGATCATGACTGACATTCAAAATAAACAAATATATCCTTTATCTAATCTTTATATGATCGTATTAACATACAATTCAAAATATGTTTGAAAATTATTTAACACAAATAGGAATCCTTTGTTATATGAGAGAAAAAAAAAGAAAAAAACAGATGTCTTTCATAAAAACGACAAAAAACGTTTAATATGTTTTTATGTCTATTTAATTAAAAAATTATTAACCTTAATAGCTCATCATATCGATATATATATATATATATTTAAAATAAAAATATTAATATTTACGAATCGTAATTACGTCATCGAATAAATATGACCTCTAAATATTTATTATCTAGCAAAAAGTTTTCTAACAGTTCACTTAATCTTATTATTACTACATTGTATTCGTGTACTTCCAATTGCGAAGTTATAATATTAAAATCGAGAAAACATTTCTTCGGTGTGCTTTTAAATCTCTCATTTTTCTGTGTGCACTGTAATATATATAGAAAATATAATACTTCGAAAAATAATGTCCTCGATAAGTAAACATTCGAAATCTGTGTCTAATATGATCGATAAGATTGACTCGAATAAAAAAGACACAAAAAATTTGATCGAAAAACGACATAGTACGTGTTATATGTCCGACGATTTAGATTTCGAGAAGAACATTGAATCAAGTAGTCCTTCTTCGGTTAATGCAGAAAAATCGAGAAATTTGGTAACAAAATTAATCAGTCGTTTTGAAAAGAAAAATGATAAAAGTAATGATCGTACGAAGAATGTAAATAAGGAATTTTTACGAAGATCTTTCATGAGAATCCCTTTACCAAGGGTCACTACGTATTATCACGATACATGTGACAATTCTTCTAATCTACGAGAATCGACGTTGGATGAAAATATTAAAAAATTATCGAATATAAAAAATGTACAATTGAATCAAAATATAAAAACATTCGAGAATGATATTGAAATCGTTAACGATTCGGACATAATTGCCAAATCATCGTCATCAAATTTCCGATTGGTCGACAATGATCCAAAAGAAAAATGGACGACTTCGGATAAACGATGGAGCGAAACTACAAATGATGAAAAAATCAATCAAAAGAAATCTATCAAAGAAGTTTTAAGTTCTTTGATCAGTTGGAAAAAACATAACAATAAAAATAAATCCCGACGTTCCCGATCTTGTGATAAATCAGAGAAGCATCATGAAATATTGCCTTCTATATCAATTATACCAAGAGCACATTCTTTGCAAACTGTTGTTATTAATAATACTAAAGATAAAAATAATACAAATGTAAATATGTATTATTATTAATAAGTAGAAAGATTTTTTGTTGTTTCGTTGTTATCTCGATATGATTGATAATCTTTATTATAATTTTAATATATGTTAACAGATAAATATCAAAAGTTCCTAGGGGAAAAAAAAGAAAAAGAAAAATAATAAAAACAACAATTAACCTAAAAATTTTCGAAAAAAGATAATTAATTTTTAATATCACTTGGAAACTTTTGATTCAACCTGTCTAGAATAATATATTATATATACAAATATATCCAATAATATATATATTAATTATTATATATAATTATTCTTATTACAGCTAAATCGAAATGCAACGATTCGACCGATTTATGGTATTAAAAGAAATCAGACAACACCAAAGAAATATCTCGAATCCTTTCAATCAATAAAAATAAATCCACGTAAGGAAGATTCCGGTTATGGTTCTGGAATATTGTCGGTCGAAGAATCCATTGAAAATCTTGTCAAACCGTCGGCGATTCGAGAAATGTCCAAAAAGCTTACGTTTATACCTGAACAACATCAAGATCAAGAAATGTGGAACCATAAAGACAATAGAAATCATTATAGGCAAGTTTTAAGTCATTGCAAGAGAGATAGGAATTCTTATCAAAGAAAATCTTTCGTTGATGATGAGTTAAAAGAAGCCGTAAAAAAAAGATTCAATGATTCATCGAATGAAAGTATTATTTATACTCAGCCGATAAATCATGAATTGAAACGTAATTATTCATCATTATATATCAACAAAATCAGCGTCAATACGGAATACGAAAATACTCAGAATATTTCTAGTCCTTTGCAATGAGATCAATTGTAGAAATCCTTAGATTGAAAAAAAAAAAGAAAAAAAAAAAAGAAAAAAGAAAAAAAGGAAGCAGAAAGAAGATATATAGTTATATATATTGTATATGTAAATAACAAACGCAATACGATTTAATATTTTAAGAAATAACGAATAATATTATAGACATAATTATTATTTTACATATATACATATATCTGGATCGGTAAAATGGATGAAAAATTCATTTTTTTAATTCTTCCTTTTTAAAATACATTGACAAAATTATTTAATTTAAACAAATGACGTACACTATATTTAAATATTGGAACAAATTTCATATACGGCTTAATTATATTACAAATCACGTTAGAAAATATTCTAACCTATAATTACATTGATAGAAATCATCAAATTTTTTTTTATTATAGGCGTTTTTAAACATGTTATTTATATAACTTTTAATATTAATTTTTATTTTTGTTCTTTTATTTTGGAATATCTGAATCCGTAAGACATGTATAATTAAGTAAACATAATTCTTAAACTCTTATTAATTTTGTAAAAAAAAAAGAAAAAGAAAAAAAAGAATAAAATACAACGCAATTAATAAAGGATTTTTATTTAGTTTTGATATTTAAGTTCTTATAATTTTTTTTTTTTCTTTTTTTGAACGTTTTTATTTTATTATAAATATAACTCTTGTTCATTACCATTCCTATTTATTCTTATTTATTAATTATTATTTATAAGTCTCGATTGGGACTCATGAGTAGAAGAGGCCCTTGAGATGGGTCCCATGGATAAAAATCAGTAGAGAAAATTTGATTAGAATATTTCGCTTATGCGGATTTTAAAGTAGAATCATTTTTGAGAATAGTTCATGCATAAAAAAATTTCCTATTGTGCTTGTAGTTCATGTTTTATCCATAGCTATCGCTTAAGTCGTTGAATATGCTACGAGCAAAAGGTGTTTAATAGTCTTAAATTTATATGATATACAAATAGAAGTGAATTTATATTCTTAGAAACGAAAACAAATAATTTGTTTTTTTTTTTGTCTAATTCGCACTTCTAATATTGAAAACTTTAATAACATTAAAGCGTATTATTTAGATTATGCAGGAATTTCCTTACATATTGTCGGAATGCGAAGAAATAAATCAAGTGTTACACAAGCCTATAAACTCGACACAAAGAATTAAGGTAATCTAATGTTTAAAATAATAAAATAAAATAAAATAAAATAAAAAAAAATAAAAATAAAAAAAAAAAAATAAAAAAATTGAATTGTAATAATATTCTATTAATATGAAAATTTCTTATATTATTACATCGTTATATACAATAATTTGCCTTCATTATTTATATGTAAGAGGTTAGGTTAATATCTTATGACATTCTTTATATTATCGGTAAAAGAAATTTATATACAATTTAATATTTTACAGTATACATGTCTTAATGTTTCACAAAATTACATTATACTTGGATCAACTAGTGGAAGTATCTACCTCTTCAACAGAGAACCATGTTCTTTTCGACAATTAATACCATTATCGGTAAAACTTAATATTAATAATATTTATAATAAATATTTGAAATCTATTAGCTTCGTGGGATATATTATCAATGGCTTCATAATGTATTTTCTTTTTGTATTTATTTAGGAAGGCATAGTCTCAAATGTTTCAATATCACCTGATGAAAAAATCGTAGCATTAGCCACAACGCGTGGAATAATATGTGTTGTTACTTTAAAACCAACTATAAAATTAATTGCTACATCGAATGAACATGCTTATGAAAAAATTATGTGCCTCTGTTGGAATGATAATAGTTCTGAAATATATATTGGTGATGGCACTGGCAAAGTTTCTGCAATTGTATTAACCGTTTTCACAGTAAGTTTATTATTTATCTATGATTGATATATAAATATTTGAATGTAATTAAACAGGTATTCATTTGTAACATTTCAAAATTTAAATTCAATTTCTATGATATAATTAATTTGGCTTGTTTCAGATGAATGGAATGTTTCAATCACCGTCTTGTACATTAATGAATCTAGATTCGAGTATTGTACAATTAAATTTTTCATCACCTCTTTTATTGATATCAACTTTAACACGCTGTTATATATGTGATACAGTTCATGAACAATATAAACAAATAGGTAACAAAGGAAGAAATGGAGAATTTGGTGCATGTTTTTATAAAATACAAATTGATGAAAATGTTAAAACTTCAGCTGCTGTTAAGAAGGGGCAAGATATTGTTAAAAAGAAAAGTTCATTTAGTTTTATTTCAGAAAGTAATAGTAATATATCAGAGTCTATTTCACCAAAAATTTTTTGTGCCCGACCTGGTTCAAGATTTTGGGAAGTATCTGCGAGTGGCGTAGTTTTAAAAACTCATCAATTTAAAGAATTATTAGCGATACCACCTATGAAAATACATAAAGTAACTAAGCAAGCATTAGAACAAAAAAAATATATTAATCATTCATGGACTTCACAATCGATCAATTTTCCTCAATTATTTGTAATTGCTTCCAAGTATTTGTTTTCTTACACATCTAATGGCTTATATATTCTTGATCTTGTGAATCCAAATGTAATACTATGGAATAATGAATTTACAAACATTACAATGGTAGATGTCATAGGAAATAAAATATATTTAATGATCTCTGATAATGAGTTCCATTGTTTAACATTTTATACGCTTGATGCATTAATATTGCACTTGTATTATACTAAACAGTATTACAATTGCTTAGAAACTTGTATTACATACAAATCGCAGCTATCGAAATTAATTAATGATAAATATATCAATGACATCTACGGTATTGAAACTAATCAACGAAAATTGGAGAACGATGAGATATCAGTATTACTGCAACCATTAATTTCTATACTGAAATCAAATTTAAATTCTAGTCCTATAAAATTAGATTCAGGTATTGTTGTAGTTAATTCAGGAAATTTGAAACAAAAATTTAACGAAGATCAACAAAATAAATTGACACAACAAATTTGTTCATCTTCCGAATCTATTCAAATGTCCTCTATACAAAATACACCTTCGGATATTAAAAATATATTAGAATTAAACAGTAATCTATCATCTACATTAGATGAAAATTTAATAAGAAAGATACAAATTGATTTAGAACCTATATGTACATTATCTAGCAGCATAAAAATCTCAATGACTGAAAAAGAGATGGAAATGTTTATTCTTGATATACGTAAAAAAATGGACAATATCGAATGTTTATACAAAACTTTACCTCAGTTTAAAGATTTGGCATGTGATATAATACATATTGCCAAAATTAATCTTACCAAAACATTTCTGACAAATGTATCGATAGAATTATTACGTTCTACAATGAATATGATTATTACAGATCATTTTATAGGTGCTTTCATTCTTATAAATACATCTAATTATAAGGAATGTACCTGTGGTTTTCCATTTCCAATAGATCAAATAAAAGAGCCAAGCTTTTTAGAAATTGGCAAAACTCTTTTACAAAAACTTGTAAATAGAAGTACAGAAAGATGTATACATTTATGTAATAGAGTACCTTATATGTGGAGAGAATATACGACTTTGTATATAAAAGAACAATACGCTATAGAAGACATACTACGACAATGCCTTTTAACTCAAGATAGTGTTACATTGTCAATTATTTTACCAATATTAGATGTGAATCAGTGGAAATTAATTACAATGTATTTAAAAAAAATGAATGATAAAAAGTGTCTCTCTTGTGAAAAATTAATAACATTAGAAACAAATATTTCTTCAATAAATTGGAACAGAGTAATATTTGAAGTTATGAAAAGGGATGGCCCAGATATAGCTATGGTATTTTTTAAAAAATTGGAAATGTTACTTCCTCTCGAATCATTTGATAAAAGGTATGTGATATTATTCAACTAAGATTTTTTATTTCTTATGTTATTATAATGTAAATATCTTCCTTCTTTCCACAGTATATTTCAGTCGTTTATATTTTCGAAAATTTTACATCATCATGGCATGCAATTGGCAGTAGATTTTAAATGCAATTCCAATATATATGGATATAATACAATGTGTTCCACAAAGGTAATTAAGTTTCATTATTTGATGTAATATATAATAGTAATACATATAAATATAATCACTTCTTTTACAGATTCGAGATCAATTAATAAAGGTATTAAAAAGAGATATAGCACGATTTGATAACAAAAATATATTAAGCACTGGTGCTCATCATTGGGGAATGCAATATAAATCTAAAAATAAGTCATCGACATGTCCATGTTGTACTCTTTCTCTCCAAACATCAGTTCTCTTAGATAATAATGGTATAGCAATTTTCCCCTGTGGTCATACATATCATGTAAATTGTATGATAGAAAAAAAACTCACTAAATGTAATCTTCATTGATGAAGTATATATATATATAAAAATAATAAAATAAAAGAAATATATATATATAAAATATTGGAAAAAACTTTTTGGACATTCTATCAAATATTATAGTGCTGAAATAATTAATGATAATAGCACGTGCGTTATGATAGTAGATCATACAAAATGTATATATTCTTTGTACTTAAAAGATTGTCTAAAAAGACTGTATATCATAATATATTTATTATAATTTAATATAATCATTTTTTTGTTTGTATTATGTTTCTTTTTCTGAAAAATCTATCTTACACATTTACATAATACCTGACATTTCATATAACAAAAACCCTTTTCACAATTTTAATATTTTCTATATAATAATAAATATCATATATATTTCATAATTATCACAGATACATCAGTCTTTCTTTTTTCTAAGTTTGTTTACAGTGCAGGATTTGAGAATCACATATTTTATTCTAAGAGAGATAAATAACATTAATTCTTTTAAACTTACCTTACTCAATGCTATTGTCTCTTATATGATATTTAGAAAGAAAAATATTAGAATAAAAGCAAAATCCTGTAAATTACTTCATATAGCATTTCCTTAAATTAATTTTCAATTTGAATAAATCTAATAAAAATATTTAAATTTGTTTTTCTCAAATTCACTTCATTCAATATAGCACTGTCATCTATAATATGATCCCTTTTTATACATCTACTTTGAATATTATTATATTAGATAATTATTTAAACATGTTTCAATTATTAGCATAATTGCCAGAACGGAATCTGCATATACGGTAATGCATTATACAAAATAAATAAAATAAAAAAATTTGTTATATAAAGAATAAAAATATTAACAGTTTTTATATATAGCTGCACTTATTTATAATTGCAGCATTTAGATTTTTTTATGTAAGTAAAACTGCCTTTATATGTGAAACTTCTTAAGATTAATTAATATATAAAATATATCAGATTATTTTTTACGTAAAACTGTAACATTAGAATATTAATATTTAATACTGTCATTCTATAAGATCAAATTTGACTAGAAAATTAAATTTGTAGTTTACTTTTTTGAGACTTAATACTATAACACACTAGACACTTACATGATAAAAAAATATTCACAATGAGAACGATATTTTAGATCCCATTCCTTTTTGCATTATAATATGACAAAATAAAATATTGCTTATTCATTTTATATGCAAAAAAAAAATATGTTTGCCATTGAAATGGGAAGATTTAAATTACCGTTATATAGAGTATGATAATATCATGCATAACTTGTGCGTATTATTCTGTGTATCGTTATTTTCCTTCAAATAATATAAATTATAATATCGTCGTTCTTTATTGTGGTCTGTCTTATGATAATAAATATAATTAATTAAAAATTTTTAATGTGTAACTTCGGTAAAATAAAACAAATATAGAGCGATTAACAAATGGCAGACCACAAACAAAAACTATATCATTATTATATATCGATAAGTTTATGATATATATATATATATTATATATATATACATTTACACGAAGAGCGATTATGATACTTAAATTTACAATATAAAAATGTAATATACTCTAACTTTTTTTATCACTACGTCATTCTTAAATGCATTTAAAACTATGAGCTGCTTTTGATATGTAACTTACCCTTAACTCCACATACAATCGTCCAGTGAAACTACACTGGAAAATTATTAAATTTATCTAATGAGAAATGTGCATGTATATATATATATATATATATATATATACAAAAAAAATTAAAGATTCTTTAAAGAGAATCGAAAAAATGCGACATTGTATGATGGCATAATGATTGCAGCTGAGAAAAGTTGTGTAGTTACATCTTAATAATAGCATAATATACACATATTATATAAAAGGTAAACATATAGAGAAACAGATATAGAGACGTGAAGAATGAATATGATTTGAATAAAGAATTACTACTTTGAAAAAAAAAAGAAAAATGCGCATAATATGCAATTTTCTGTGTATGTGAATTCATTGTTTTGTTGGCGATAATATAATATTCCTTCAAAGTAATATTATACAATTCTATTCATACATTAGTCTGGACTAAGTTATCACACGTGCATTACTATGGCCCAACATATGTGTTTATGTAATTAATAACTTTTAAAGACGTTTTCATATAGAAAAAATTTTTTCAAACTTTTACTACTTTTATATATTGCAAGCGCACATATTAATATATACTTATAAATATAATTGTAATAAATATATATCTCTCATACAATTCATAGAATGAGACATACAATTGAATAATTGCATTAATAATTAAATAGAATACATGTACTTATAGTCATCGTAATGATTTTACCATGCACTAAATATTTTTATTCTATTTATGCAAGATAAAAAAATATAAACCTATTGAGAAATATTGAGAACACTTAGATACATCTTCTAGATATATTACATGACAAATAGTACTAGGTAAAATCAGAAATATAAACAAATTTGTGCAGCACAATATTATATACTTATTATTGATCGTACTTCATAGAAGTTAATTGAAAGCTTGCAATATTTATAATGTTTGTATATATGCAGAAATCATAAATACATAACACATATGAGTCTTCTAATACAATCAGTATTTAAACCAAACGTTAAAAAATGTGATATTTTATATAACATTTTTAGAGAAAAAAAATGAAAATTATAAGTTTATCATATTATCGTTCTTAATAAAAATATTAATATCAATTTAATTGAAATGATATTACATTCTTGCTTTGATTTTAGAAATTGCAAGATTTGAAAAGTTAAATGTGTCTGCATTATCATATAATACTACATTTTAAATTTTGCCCCAACTATATTGTGTATCATTATTAACATATATAATTTCTTGGAAAAATAAAATTATCCAAAATGTGTTACATATCTAAGCAATATGTTGTATAAAATTAAGCATTTCTTAGATTGACATATTAAATATTAAATTATTATAATTTCTCTGTTTTAAATATACTACAAACTGTTTATTAAAAACAGTAAGAAAATTTAATTTAATAAAAAAGAAAAGTGAAATATTCGTAGTCCATTATTAAATATTTAAAGTCCATTTTATAGAATGCTTTATCTTTTTTCCCAACAATTTCGTCAATAAAGGCACTGATAATGAGTGAAACTCATGGCAAAAATTTTCTTTTGTTTTTTTTCTCCTTTGTTGCTGAAGAATGTCTGTTAAATTTGATAGCTTTAAAGCTACTGATATGTCTTCATTCGATAATCATATACTCATAGCCAAATTGCCTTTCACGCAAACAAGTTTCTAATTGAGTACAATATAAATAGAATTTTCATTATTTCTTCCTTTATATAAATTAAAATAGTTTAGACAATTAGACTATCAGTACCTCATGCATGAATTTCTACTTAATTTTAAAAATACGTAGTCTATATACTATATACTGAACAGCACATCAATAAGTGGCTATAAATGAAAGTGTGACATGCATCCATTAACATATCTTTTTTAAATTGTAACATAAAAGGTCAGGATACTGTTGGTTGGTGTGTTTACAGGATTAATTACACTCGCTTAATACTTTGTGAGAATCTTACATTCATTAATAGTAAAAAGAAATATAGTATATACATACGTGTATATATATGTATATATGTATATATAGTGGGAAAAAAAAAAAAGAAAATTTTATTTTATATTAATACAAATTTGTGTAAAATAACACATTATATAATATGAAATATAAGATAAATTCTCACAAAGTTAAAATATTGCGACACATATGTGCATAAAATGCCTTAAACAGCGTAACATATCTAATAAAGTATATAGTTGATTTTTCTTAAAATGGAAAAAATCAATTATCATTATATAAGGTATATATATCTTGTCGTTATTACCAAAAAGTTGAAGTTTCTTTTTGCAAGATATGTAAGATAATGTATAACGTGTGCTGTATATATTCGTATTAAGGCAATAGTTAATATAAAAATCAATCTCCCTTAGAGAATAACATAAACTATTTATTATAACAGGCGGTTAGAGCGCTTTAAGATTATAGAATGAAGGATCTTCTTCTATAAAACCACAGAAACAAAAATAACAATTTTAGGATATTGCGTGTACAGATGAATAAAGTAGACATATTGAGTAGTTATATTTTTGAAAGCGTATATATGTATTATATTAAGATACAATCTTGCATCGTGGTGTACCCAGAAGATTGATGAATTCACATAAGATGTCTTCCTTCTTCCCAAAGTTGTGAGCCAGCACTTGTGTTAAACATTTATTGGTATATCTTTCTTCATCTTTGTCTCATTTCTGGTTCAGCGTCAATCAATTATATGGAAAATACCCCATTTCATTTTTAGAATACTACCAATCAATTAAGCACCGACACATCGTCTTGATTAAAAATCTAATGTTTTTTTTTTCTTTTTTTTTTCTTTTTTCTTTTTTTTTTTTTTTTTTTTTTATAACTACGTGAATATTTCCTTATACTTATTATAATGCTATTACACAATGTTTATATTTACGTATATCATTTTATAATATGCATATTTTGTAAAAGAAGAAGAAGAAGAAGAAACGTAAGTGTATTAATATAATTCTACTGAATCTTTATAATGTGAGCTTTTTTTTCTTTTTTCTATTTTTTTTTTCTATTTTTTTTTTCTTTTTTTTTTTAACTGAAATAATAAACACACGAATTACCGCATAAATCATATTATCATCGTATTTACTATATAAGGTTGAATGCAAAAAAGATATCATATATATCTTCCTACTAAAAACATTGTCAACATCTTTTATGAATCTTGATTGGACAATGTATGTCCATTGTAATTACAAGCGGTAGTTCCTTTTAATTAATTTCTTTTTTTCTTTTCTTTTTTGAAATCGAACAAGACTACGTTGAGGATCACAATGTTGTGGGTTATCCTTATCATTCCACTATATTGTTCTCTTCAAATCCGTTTAATGTCTTGACCGATGCGAAGAGTCTCCTCTTTCATCACGACGATCTCTTTCCCGTTCCCGTTCTCGTTCACGTTCAGGTTCTCTTTCTCGTTCAGATGGTCTTCGGCTTGATTCTCGTTCTCGATCTCTGTCTCGTTCACGTTCCCTGTAGCGATCGTCATAATACCTACACAGGACACGTCAGCCAAATTATCTTACTTTAATGTTGAACCCTATATCTTACGTCTCTTCGTATATCGCTATTTT